GTCATTCCTCCTCCAGTTTAATCCTCATAAGGATCCTTGAGGCAGGATGGGCCCAAAGTCATCCAGTGGTCTTCCACAGTTGAGAATGGATTTGAATTTAGTTTTTTTGGGCCATAATCCACTATGTCACATTTCAAGAAATAAGAGCAAGTACAGATAACTAAACTGATCATCTTTGCATTCATCAGCTTTGTGGAGGTCTTGAGTAATGTTCCTTTAAATTAGATATATTTGCTAAGACGCCTTAAAAAAAAAACCTGTCCAAGCCATTGAGTAGCCATAACTTTCTGAAAAATAATAGCATTTCTTTATTAGTTTTACAGTATTTGAGTCTCGCTTCAAATTATATAATTGGCAAAATAAATCCAACTATAGTTACCTTGCTAACTTGCATCAACTTTCCAGGGTGCTGGAGAAATGAGAGAACACCCACTTCACACAGAATATGGAGATTTCCATAGCATTTAAAGAATAATAGAGCTTCTTCAATCAATTTTCAACAGTTCTATACTGGGTGTCATTCTACACGGCATCTAATGAACAAGCACGCGCCAATGGCCACTTTAGCAAGAAGCACACTGAATATTAACTAGTAACAATGTGCCTAATAAAACGAATAGGAAGTTTCTTTCAGATATTCATGATGGAAAAATATTATAATTTCAGTGTCTTCCCAGGAGGGTCTGACTCAATAGTGGACTTTGTAAATAGGTGACAGGTTGACTCCTGTCACTCATTTAAAAAGCATTTACCAAATAAGTCCCTTCTTAATTTTGATGTCTACTGTATGTGTGTGTATGTACACACAAAAACTACAGAGTTCTCTACTATTATAGAAACCTAGTTCCCTTTTTGTACAAAGTGTTGTATAACTTGAAATGCAAAAATAAATGGTGTAATTAACCTAGTTAATTTAATTTAAGTGGGAATTTAAGAGCAATGTTTCTGGATCAAACAAAAGATATGTTTAATCTAGTAAGATCAAGCAACTCTGATGTCTTTCAGATATTTTGATTTCAATCCCATCAGCCTCAAGCAGCATAGAAATGGGCAAGTGACTGTGAAAACTGCTTAAGTCAAAATAATCCGCAAAGTATGAGACTTGCTGCCCTTCATTAGACTATCTGCATAAATCTATATCTGTACCAGGAGCCCCAGAAACATTCTAGCATACTTACCATCTTAGAAGTCTTTGGCAGGAGGCACTGTATGAAGACAGCAGTTTTTTTCTAAATAAATCAACCTCTGGGATTCTATTTAATCAGTTCGTATTTGAACTGTGTGGGGTAAATATGATCTAAGACTACTGCACAGGTGATGTATGCACATTTGACTGATCAATATCTAAAAGTCATAAGGTTAAGACTCTGTTACAAGTTGTATAACACAGCCATTCTTTTATTTCTTTTTTTAAAAAAACCTTTTCAAGAAGTTAAAGAGTGAAATTACCCTAAGAAGTAACAAAAAAGAAATAACACATGCTTGGCAACTAACAGATGAAACCTCATTGAAAATCCTCCATTCTATGTTGCCCACCCTGATGCTCTTCCAATGGCTTGGACTATAGTTCTCATCAACTCCAGGCACCCTAGGAAAGCCCAACTAGAAAGTACCAAGTTTGGAAATACTGAAAAACAGTATTTTTTTCCTCCCTATGGAGCAATGAAATTCACATATTTGAAGATGAGGAGAGTTTAATTTTGGCTTGTATGTGGATGTGTGATGAGGCAGAGTCCAAGAAATTCATTACTTCTGCAGCATCCCCTGCTGGCTATTTCATGGGAACTTGTTAAGCCTTGATTTTCCCACTGAATATAAAATGAGAATTTGAAAGTTGTCACATGCAGGGAATGAGAAAGGAACTACAGGGCAAGACAGTAGAAAAACAGTGTTAATGAAGCTCTGTTCTGTCCAGCGTCCTTAGAACTGGAGCTCAATTAAGCTGAACATATTATTAACTTCCAATTCCATTTAAACCTCATTGGTAAGAATCTATTATCCTATTTTCATCTGATGGCACAGTATCAAGCATGACAACAAAATGCACTGTCAGAGGGACATTTGGTTCCTGCATGCTAGCTTTGGATATTGGCCATAACTTTGCACTGTGATGAGGAGCTCCGTGGGTTGCACTGCCTAATGCAAACTAGCACTCTGAACCATCTTAAAGCTTTTCATAAGCCCCCTAGGAGGAGAAGAATGTATCTACCATTATCCAGCTTTCTCTAACCTAATTCTCTGTTGCCCTAGCTGAGCAAATGATAGGATTTGTAATCCAGCACATCTGGAAGGCACCAGGTTGGAGAAGACTTCTCATACGTTTATTCATTTAATCACAGATGTGGGAAAAAGTACTTAAATACTATACAAGTTAAGTTTTCTCTTTGAGTGTAGGAATGGAGCAAAAAATTAGATTTTCTTCCCCCCATCCCCCAAGCAAAAGCAGATTAAGTTTCTTGTTGAATGTGTACTTAATTCTTTTTTTAGGTTTTATATACTACTTAGCTACTCAATCATACCATGCTGCCTTATACTACTCTCACTTTCCCTAATGAAGAGATTTTTGGGATTGCAATTCCTAGAATTCTCAGCCAAGATGGAAACTTTAGAAGATACCAGCTATGGACTCTTCTGTAGGCAATGGACATGGAGAGAGAGAGGAAGAGAAATGAAAGAACTAATGTAGCTAAGAAGGATAAGAGAGAAGCAATCCTATATTAATTTATTTAAAACATATTTAAAAGCTGGCAATAAGAGGAGGAAAAATGCATTACTTTTTGACAGGGACAGTGAGATTAAAAAGAAGATGAATTTTAAAGCTGAAGCTAATGTTAGAATTACATAATTCACATTAGTTTGTGAATTGCCTTAAGGCTACTTATTTCACTAAGACAAATTTATGTATAGGTAAAAACAATTCTATATATAAAGATACCTATTTATTGTCTTTTAGAAGGATCATCAAAACATTTTGATGCTAATCTGCTTTTTATGGTGTTACATTTTAGTAAAGGTTTTCCTTGCCTATGCTATTTAATTATATTTATATTTTTATTTGCAGATATTACTTGACTAATAACTTGTAATCTTATTAGAAGCTTCACAAGTCACAAGCAGAGTGAACCATTGAAAAGCTAAAATGACAATATATTGAACCAATGACATTATCATTGTAATCTTGCTTCCCTTCCATCTTTCTCACTCCCCCTCATCTCATCTGTGCTGAATTTGTTTCTGTGTCAAATTTTAGATGATAGTTTCCTCAGTGAGGGACCTGTTTTCTTGTTACTCATAACATGTCACCGCACACTGACAGTACTATATTATCATTAATTATAATTAGAACACCAGCTCCACTTTGGCTGACAATGTGGGATGACAGTCTTTGAAATAAATTGGAATACTTCCTGTCTTTACATTCTTTGGATTCCAAGGAAGATTTTCAGACTTTTAGGTTGGAGGTGTGACATCCCTTTCACCTGTATATGAACTTGGGCTTTTTTGTTTATTCATGTCTCTGCTATTTCATATCTATCCAGATGCTGGATAGAGTGAACGTACTTGTTGCTGTCTGTTTGGCCACTGTACTGGAGAATCATTGAAGGGTTTATTACTGAATCAACATGTTTTGAATTGGATGTTTTGCTTTCAGATCACACTGTTGAGAGATTTGGGGAATTTCTGCCATTTAATTTGCTTTTCATGACCCTTTCTGAAAGGTATGATTTGTTCTTTTGTTGTGGACATTGATTCTGGAGCAGTAGACTGGATTCATTGATTTCTGGAAGTAAAGTAGGTCACTAGGTCGTTAGAGATAAATTATTTCATTGGTTTTTAAATTCCTTCTAATTCTTATTCTATGATCCCTTAAGTATGTCCTTGAAAAGCAAGACTGGGCTCATGCTTTATGCTAAATCATAAGGCAATTTGCTTTGTTTTGTCTTGGCATGTTATGTGAACCTAATCATTGATTGGTAAACCATGGTTTATGGCTTAACATGTACAAATGCAATCAACGGTAGTTTACTGAACTAGTCATGATTAAATTAATCATGAGTTAGCACTATGTGCAAACTTAAACGAAGTACAACAAAATATTTATAAAAAGTCAGCCTGAATTACACCCTAAACATCCTACCTCCTCTTAGAGAGCACTCACTAGAAAACCTACGAAAAAGTTTCCTAAACTATGAACTGGACACACAGCCATCAGAATAGTGAAATAAATCTGCCTAAATTCAATCTAGTTGCCAGCTTCGCATGTTCCAGAAGGCCAGAGATGGAACTGTCTAAACTGAGCCCATAATTAACAGTATAGTAACAACAAAGAGCAGCTTCACTATAGACATAGAGGTGATGGGTCCCTGTCTCTTGCTAACTGTTTTTGAATTTTAGCTCAGCAAGGGATCAAACATCTCAATTTGCCATGAGAAAAACTGTAAATGACAGAAGGTGAAGAGGAAGGAGCAAGTTCGATATTAATTAAGTCCTTTCAGCATATCATGTGTCAACAGCAGCTTTCTTTTCTTTTTTTATAAGTGCTCACCTGTACTTATGTGAATCTGTCCAGCAGCTACAAAATCACTTTGCAGAAATAGCTCACATCAGCATTATATTTTAGAAACTATACAATAGGAGTTTTACTACTACAGATGACCTTCCTTTCAAGAAGAGCTGGAGTAAAACGAAAAAGACCCTTTGACGTTAAAAAAAGAAGCCTGGAAAGATATTTGGCCACCTTTAAAAATAAGTACAATTTCCCAGCCCCTCTGGAGGGTCTTTGGAAAGATGGATGAGAGCTAGCTGGCTTTTGCTCATGTCCAGTTCTACCACAAACTTCTCTGAGGTAAAAACCCAACATCCAATCCTAGCGGAATTTATCTTTTACATCTCTAATTTGAAGCTCTTCTTTAGTTTCCATTCCTCTAGCAACGTTCAACTACCGTAAGTCTTTATAAGTCTACAGCAACCATGTTCTTAGTAGCATCATACAGACTTACATTGCAATTGGAAGAAACATCGAAAGTTGGGTAAGGACTATCAGACCATTCAGATGCGTCCATGTTTCCTGGCTGCCGATGCTGAGCTTCATATTCCTTAAGCTGAAATGAAAATAAAACAAAGAGCCATGGATTTTCTCACTTGCTAAAAGTATATTTATTCAGTTTAATTCTTTTTTTACAAGCAAATAATTATTGGAGGAATTAAAGCTCTATTATTACCAATGGAAAACACTATTGTGACAATACCTTTGTTCCTTAGACTGTATAGAAAAAAATTACACACCCCAAAACAAATGTGTGTATGTATGATTTTGAAATTAAGATTATCAGTGCTATAATCTGAAACTATTTTATTATAGTAGAGATTGCACACACACACACACATACACACCCCAATGTGGAAAATTAGTCCTCAATGGAGAATCAGTTTTACATGAATAGGAATTTTAGCCATATACTGTACGTTTATTGCAGAGCTGAAAATAGTCTGGTCGCTGAGGTAGCTAATTTTATCCTTTGTTAAGATGTAATACAATTGATTATTTGTATAAATGTAATATATATCACTTTACAGTTCAGATTAACATCAAACAATAGAAATGTTTTCAGTTTTTTAAAAAATCCATTAAGGCCATTACATCAGAAATGCTTTCATTCAGGATTCTGGTCCTGGTTGGAGAGGATGTCTGACCAGGAGAAATGTCTACCTGATCCATGAAATCAAACTTGTATTTGTTTGATTCTCATAATTATGGATGCTATGCACAAGGTTCTGTAATTCACTGATGTAATCAGTCCTATTGTTTGTCCCTAGCATACATAATGTATTTGCATTATATACCCTTGCAAGAGCTTCCTCAATAGTAATCATCTTCTCTTTGACCATCATCATTAACTGGATCCGCTCCTCGTCACTCATTGTGATTTCACTTGCCACGTAACCAACATCTTCCCCTGGAGATAAATAGGAAAGATGAAAAAATAAAGGTATTTCAAAACAAAACAAATATAAGTCAAGCACAAGGCATGATTTTCCCAGTGAACTGACCATGTTTGATCATGCTATTTAATTTCCCACTTATTTACATATCAACATCTTTATTTGAGTTTTTAAGAAACTTATGCCACAATGAACTCAACATATAATTGTTCTAAGAGATTAAAGAAAAATCTGAAGCTTTGTTCAGAGTTAATAGGTGACAGTAGATAATCCAGTTTTCTAATACTTTGGAACTCATTGAACACAGAGTATTATAAAATAATTATGACCATCCTTACTAAAGATTAAAGCTGAGTACATAAATCCTGCTTAAGGGCCCAATAGCTATATAAAACTTCTTTCCCAACTTAATAATAAAAAAAGAACTTCATTAAATTTTTTACCTTTTGAAGACTGTCTCATTAGTCCCTTCTGATTCTTTCGGAAGTTTTGCCAGAAGTATTTATTCTTCTTTTTCCAATCTACTTTACCTACAGATTTTAAATATATGCACTCAATAAAAAAAAGAAAACCGCTATCATCATTCAGCTTCAAAAACATCAGTTTTAAATGAGCTGTCATAAATATTTATTATATTTGAATAAGGAAGGCTATTAGAATGTTTGGAATAAATAAGTAATTTTTTTTAAAATGAAGCTATATCTCTGTAGTTATTTTTGTAAATTCTAATGGTTTTGAACCATTAATTAAAATCCAGACTAAAAGTCCACAATATTCTTTTGCTTTCTGTTTACTATTTTGAAATTTCATTTATAAACTAGTGATGCCCAACATTTGGTTAAGGCTCACTTTCTGCTCTTCTTAATAAATAAAATAAAAACAAATACAGAGTTAAAAAGAAACCAGAAGGCTCCAAAACATTTGGTTTCAATTAGGGAAGATCTTTACCTTTAAAAAAAAAAAAAAAAGACCGAGGGTGTAGGAAAAGGATGGCTGGCATCGTAACTGAGAGAAAAGCAGAATATGTTCAACAATTAAATAATATCACCCCATACTCTTATGGACTTAGTATGACTCAACAGTATTGATCATATACATAAGGAAATGCTATTTAAAAGCTTAAAGAGGATTTTGGAGGGAAAAGTATAAGTAGCAGAACAGATGAACTTGTTGTGTGTGTTCTGAGAATCATGAATTTGGATACGTTTGGTTACGGCTTTCCCAAAGCAAAGCCCCCCAAATAAGAGGAAGCATACTGACCAACTGCACTTTCTTCAGAACTTGATTTATGAAGAGAGAACCTAAAATACAAAAGAGAAAGAGATAGTGCTAATTGTGGCAAACATCTTCTGCCCCATGAAAGCTGGGTGGCTTACAATTAATGAAGATTTGTGGAATAGCATATCCCCTTCCCCTCTTTTTGTCTATGAAGCCAGGAGGAAGAAAGAGCATCCCAGCTCCAGCTCCATACGCGTACAATGGCATGAGCTCAGCTCTACTGTGAATGCTCTGAAACAATCTTCTTGTGACTGATGCACAAAAATATGTTATGGAGGACAAAAGAATTAAAGTTATGGGGTCAGAAGGGGAAATGGGCTGAAGGAAGTCTTCAACTCTTCCCCCTCCCTCAACTGTCTGCTACAGGAAAGAGAGAAAACACTTCTTAGGAAAACACCATTTTACATGTGTAATTCCAGTACACAAAGCTGGGGGACCATTCACATTTCCAACTATGCACCAGGCAATGTGAATGTGTTACATGAGAGAGATAAATCACAAGGTTCCTGAGCTGAATCATTTAGCTGTCTGACCAAGATCTCCTTTTTCTGTTTTTCTCTCTTTTGTGCTCAATCTGCCTTTATTAAAGAGACAGGACCCTTTCCCATGTCATACTTTGATAGGTACCTCTCATGACATCCCTCATTACTCTTATTTATTTGTAAGCAAGTCGATGGAGATAAATAGTCCAGAAGGATCCTCTGCCATTATTAGGCTAATTAGATTTAAATTGCAATTCATAAGTAAGCTTAAACCTCCCATTTTTCCTTCCATCAATTTACAAAAAGTAACCATCAGTTGTGTAGAAAAACTATGTGGACAAATCAAACAGAATGCATTCCGCACAGGACAACAGGACCATGTCTTCATTCTAAAGCAGTATTGCTTTTGCTGCTACAGCTTCGCATTATGTTTTTTATGATTAAAAGCAAACAGACTGGATAACAATTGTGTCATATCTCCAGAAAACAAGATGGACATTTCACTTCACATACACACTGAAGCTGAATTACACTTTGATCTATGGCTTGAGTTTGCAAACCACCCTGTGTGCAGTTTTAAAGATTAGCGGTGGAGGGCAGCGCATAGTCTTTGATCACCTCTGAAAAGCTCCAAGAAGAAATTAAATTGTGCTTTGTTTTAGACCAGTCACTGTTACTGTCAATGATCCAAATGATTAGAGGCCAACTGTTTATAAGCATGAAAAACATAATCATCAATTTGCAGGGACATCATGAAAGGGAAAACGATAGCATGAAACTAAATTCTGATTCAGTAAACTCATCCAAGCAGAGGCAGTAACTGTGGTGCTTGGACATGGCAAATCATCTTTCTTCTTTAGTCTGATTAGAAATTTAATCGGCACCAGCCAGGCAGCCAATTGACACAACCAATTCCAGATCTGGGTTTGCACCAGGTGCACGCTGGAAGAAGGCCATCGCTAGCTTCCTGATGGATGCAGTTTACACTCGGGACAACAGCTTGTAAAAAGAAAATTGATAGCTTGGGTGGGTTCACAGCACTAGCAGCCAGGGTCTGATTTTTCAAAAGGAGCTCAAAGAAATACAGGGCATCTCTCTCTCTCTCTCTCTCTCTTTCTGTCTTCTGAAGCACAGATCTAATAACAATTTCTAAACCATCCAGCAGGATTTCAGTCAAGTTTGTACAGGATCCTAGAAGAATGCAGTTAATGACTTAATATATTTATTAGAGTGACTAACAGAACAGAAAGATAAAAGCTTAAGAGCAAACTGTTTTGGCTTCCAGCTTCTTCAGCTGTTTCAAAGCAGGATCCTTTTTATGAGCAGCTGAAGTGAGTGGAAGCATTTTGCGTTTGCTTTTGAACTTGAGTATGTGAGTATGTGCATGTGTATGTATGAAGGATATTGGTATGTGTGTATATATGTGTGCGTATGTGTATATACGCACACACCCCTAGAAAGATTTTAGCCCTTCCTTCATTTGTTTAAAGTGCCTGAACTTGGAAAGGCTTGCCAGCTCCTGCTATAGATTTCGACCTCTTTACAGTCGTACAGTATAAAGTGGCACAAAGCCTAGGGAGGTATCTTGTAGGTCTTTATACTGTTTAATTTCTTATCCATCTCTGCAAAATTATCTCATGTCAACAGGTCTCTGCCTTCATTTTACATTTTCAGGTAAGCATGTCTGTTGGGATTTGTCTTTTTATTCTTGACAAAGAAACACACTTCAGTCACTCACAAATGCTCTGCTTTTCTTTCTCTTAGAAGTGTGTCTCTTTCAAACACATAAAAATCACCGTGCCCAGCTTTTCCAGTTACACAGGTATACTCATAACTACATAAACTACTATAAAAATGGCGCCACAGGCAAGAGAAAGAATCTAAACAGAAAACATGTCCACAAAGCATAGCACAAGACTATTTGCACAATTTATAAACGTAGTGATATCTTATTATTATGAAAAAGAGTATGTGAACCATTTCCAGGAATTATGCAGACTCGGTTGGCTTGTTTGCTTGTTTTACTAGGAGTGAAAAAATATAATACACATATCTCAAAATGTATTTGTAAGTACATATAAAGGAACAGTGAGTTGGCCTTTT